TATAGGCCTTTGGCCTCATAAGAACCATGAATAAAGATTGATTGATTGATATAGTTCGCAGACATAAACTAAGCAGCAAAAGATAGTAAAGGTTTGCAATTTGTAATTTTCCTAAAAACAGCGATAACTAGTTGAAAGTGGGTATTGGGAATATGACCGCCCAGAACCAGGTACGAAAAAACACCTCACCGAACGCGCCACCTTTGACGGCGCTCGTGCGGTGACAAAAAAATGGTGAAACAGGTTTCCCTGCATGTTAGCTGTATAAATGCATCGTCTGCAGGGTATAACCACACGTGATGAAAGCACACAGAAGAAATGCCACGACTGTCACAGGAGCAGAGAGACAGAGTGCCATCGGTATGGCCGAAATGGGGGCAACACAGGTCCAAATTGCCAGAAGGTTTGGTAGTACACCATTGACAGTAGCCAGGCTGATTCAACGGTACAGGCAGACAGGGAGGACACAGGACAGGCCTAGAACCGGACGACCCCGAGTGACAACACCACTGGAAGACGATCAGATACGGCTCATTCACCTGCGAAACAGATTCGTAACGGCGACGGCGACGGCAGCGCCAGTCGGGAAATCCCATAAGCCCACGTTCAGTACTACGACGACTTCGTTCCGAGGAATGGTACTGACTGCTCAACATCGACGCATGAGACTGCGATGGGCGAGGCAGCTCGACGCTGGCAAGTGAGAAATTGGCGTCGAGTGCTGTTTACTGATGAAAGTCGGTTTAACTTGTTTCGAAATGACGGCAGAGAACGAGTTTATCGACGCAGAGGAGAACGTTTGGCTCCGGCGTGTATTCGAGAGGTCCATCCATTCGGCGGGGGAGGTGTCATGGTATGGGGCGGTATTTGTAGAGATCAGAAGACTGATTTGGTGATTATACAGGGAAACCTGAACGCTGTGCAGTACAGAGACCAAGTGTTGCAGCCAGTTGTGCTTCCGTTCTTACAAAACCAACAGCAGGGTACATTGTTTCAACACGACAATGCCAGGCCCCATACTGCAAGACTGACTCGGAACTTTCTAAACCAGCAGAACGTTGACGTTTTGTCCTGGCCTGCTCACTCACCAGATATGGATCCTATTAAACATCTGTGGGACTATCTTCACAGACAGATTAGAGCACGCCATCAGCCTCCCGTCAACAGACAAGAATTGCAGCAGGCCCTGAGAGACGAGTGGCAACGGATTCCAGTCCACGTCATCAGAAGACTGACGTCATCGATGAGGCGGTGTATCACAGCATGCATTGAGGCAGCTGGAGGTCATACACGCTAATGAAGTCAACTGTGTCGACAATGAACTTGTAGTGTGTCTGACAATTTTTTGGTGACATTTCACACAACTTTTGAAAATGAAATTTCTTACCCCACCATTGTTTACCTTGAGCTTACATTACCTCTGATTGCACAATTTCATTCAAACTGTGGTTGATCAATCATTTGTTACCCCTCCCTAGATTATATTATAATTCACAACAAAACCTCTTCTTGTTATTTTTTATCGATCATGGAACTCGACCTATACTTTCTTTTGCCGCCCAGTTTATTAATCATGTTTTGCGAGAGTACGCGCTCTATATTTCCCCGGTCTATGTGAGGAAAAGCATCATGGTAAACAAGTTCCCATGACCCTGATAACGAGCATTGTGATGACCTTACATGAGTCTACCACCCTTTTTCATCTTTTGTCATAGGGGATTATTTGTAGTAAAACCTTGTACCCTGTCCCCTTTATGAAACAACGTACATGCAAGCATGCCTTATACAGGCAGAGCAAACGGTGATGTTTGTATTGATTTAGACCTCCAGCCTTCGACAAGCTAAATGTCAACATCAACTTCCTCTGTAATGTGTACTGACGGTGTCGTAATCAAAGGAAGTCCACCCATGGTAATATGAGTTGTTGGGTGGGGTGTAAATATAACAGAAAGAAGTCAATGACGCGTCTTTGGTGCTGCTCGCAAAGAGGAAGCTTGTCTGCGTGAACATGTGCCACTTGCAATCTGTGGTTTTATACTGTGCTCCATAATATATTTATTGCTATGTGTAACTATGATATATGTGCAAATAAAGCGACAAAACCCTCTCAATATCCAACAGAAATGTCTGCATAAAGCAGAGTCGATCGTACGATTCTGACTATATTGTGAGCATGTGACAATGAATCACTAACAAAAAGTAATGATACCAGGTGTTCGCGAAAAGGTGAGCGTATCCTGCCCCACCGATGGCACCCGTCACAAACACATGCAAAGGCAAGTCAATTGTTCGCCGGGGGAAAAAAACATGATATTTCTTAAATGCGTGTAACCACATATACCCAGCCTACTATATAATGACGTCATGTAGTAGATTTGAAGTTAAGTTATCTAAGCTTAACAAAAGCTTTTTTCCAATCAATGGTATTGTGTTGCAATTTACAAGATGTCTTCTCACGTCCATACTCAAATAGCAAACAGACCCAACCCTGGGTCTACTTGACGCACACAAACACCTGGTTTAAAAGGTGTAACCGAAGTAGCCATCCTGAATTGAACATACTGACAGTTAACTAATCGCTGGCATTCTGAACAGCACTCTTGAGTAAACTTCTCTTATCTGCCTTACTCCATCTTCCCGAGGCAAGGGCATTAACTGAGTATAAAAGTCCAGTTTTTACCCTTGCCGAGCTAGGCTGGAATTCCCCATGATGCAGATTGGCTGGACTAACGAATCTATGCATAGTCAAAACCAAATCGCAAACAACAAAGTTTGCAACGAGCAGATTTCGGTCAATTGAAGGATTTAGAAAGCATGTGAACTGCCAAATATTCGTCGACAGATATTTTGCAAACCTTTTCATGTTTTTAATCAAGGTGCACAATTGTTGTGATGCACTTCGCGAGGTAAAACACGTTATATTACAATAACAATCTTTATTATCGATGAGATCTCTTGACTGGGCGCCGCCATTTAGTTTTTGGCAATTGAAGTGATATGAAAGGTGGTATCTGATTGGTCATTAGGAGGGACATAGAAGGGACATAATTCATAATAGCCACCTGTGGCGCTAAGATCGAGCCTGGAAATTGAGGCCAAGGGTGGAAACTGGACATGGAAGGGAACACCCTTGACTCGAGAAGATGACCTTATTCAGTAAGGTCAAGTATTCGGTAGTGTCTTACAGTAATGTGTAGTGCTCGGATCACCCCTAAGCAATATTGGATGGAACAATGTATATAATAGAAAATCACACAAATGTGGTAATTGAAAAAAAGAAAGTCATTACAGAACAGCATCTTGAATCTAAACGATGTTGTTAACACTAAGCCCGGAGGCATGTGGAAAATTGTCAAGTTTACATCGTCGTAAACGGTAGATCGAGTTACTAGAGTGTTTGAGGTTTCACCCTACATCAAAAGAAAATCGTGAAAACAATTTTTATAATCATTAACCATCTCCGCTGTATGATTCCGACCATATCATATACATGGTCCATGAATCAGGATACCCTCACCGTTTCGCAAACACCTGGTATCATCACGATTTCACAGTGATTCAAAGACCTATGCTTATGATATAGTCGGTATCGTATATTGGACACTGCTTTTAGTAGAGATTGCTTATGATTTTTTATTCAACTGATATTCGTCAATGGCAGCTCTGCCTTCTCTGTATAAAGGGCACACAGGTCGTTACATCACGCTGAGATTCTATAATTGAAGTTATAATTGGGTTCGAGTGCAGGATTCGTTTTTTATCAGCATCAATGTGGTGTTTTACAAATGTGGTACACGTTATCTGGGTAGCTTTTACGTTTCCAACCAAAACTGAGCTGTCGTTATTTAACTGTAGCGGGCATAAAAAATATATAGTTCCCTGTTTGGGATTCGAACGATGAACCTTCTACGAAAGTTTTGTCCACATGGCCAAAGAGGTTTACCCCGTCAACAAGATGACAAGGTAAGGATGTTATATGTGGGATGACTCCACGCCCTGCTACATACTTCCCCGTCAACAAAAAGACACGTCCCTATCCGCACAGGAGGTTACTGAGACTAACTGGCCTCAAATTTGACAAAAACGTGCTCAGACCAATGTTGGCCCCTACGTGGCGGCCATAAAATGTCCGAGTCCCATGATGGGATTCGAATCACGGACGACTTGTCAACAAAAGAGGTTAACCCCGTCCGCAAGTTAACAAGGAAAGGATGTCAGGTGTGGGATGTTACATAATTGATAAAAGCCTACCTAGCTTACATATCTGGCACACAACACATCACGAATACAACATGTGAGGTGAGGCGAAATGGGGTTTAACGTCGCGTCCAAGATTATTGCACTTTATATAGCGACGTGCATATGCATGTACGTGTGTGTGTTTGTGTGGCTGCTTGTACTAGTCCGGACTGATGCCGATTTATAGTGCTACCTCACTGAGATACCATGCCGCAGTTTAACATGAATACCCCACTCAGACACAGTATACTGACTCCGAGCCGACCAGTCCTTGTTTTAGCCCCTTAATGCCGAGTGCCAGACAGGGTAACAACAAGTACCATGTTTCAACGTCTTTTGGTATGACGCGGTCGGGGATCGAACCCCGGACCTTCCGCTCTCCGGGCGATCGCTCTACCACTAGAGCACGGAGGCGGTTCACGAATACAACAGCTAGATGGAGCAAAGTATCCTTTTTGACTCATCTATGCTTGGTTACAAATGACGTCCTTTCTTTCCCTACGTTACACCATGCAAATAAATAAAAACGATAAAACCCTTGCCGTTGTACGATTGAAACTATATCATGAGCATGTGTGTATAAATAATTATTAAAAGGTGATGATTCCAGGTGTTCGCGAAAAGGTGAACGTATCCCGCCCAACCGGTGGCGCCGGTGACAAACAAAAGTCATGCAACAATCGCTGAAAAAATTTCAGTCATGATTTCTATTTCCCCTGAGAAATAACACATAACTCTACATATACAAGGATGTCACTTACTTTGCAAAGTATTTGTTGAACCGCTGAGTGAAATGATTTTGAATCCAGCAAGTGGAAAAATGATCCCTCTTTCTACGTATGCACCAGTGTCATAACAGAAAGACCTCTAAATCTGTGCAGAAATGCAGTGAGACAACCCGATTGTATATTATTACTTCCTGGTCCCACCGGGAAGACCAATGAGGTCAACTTCAGCTGTGTGTACTACGTGCAATGTGTGACTTCAGGCGTATCGTCTCGGGTCCGTTGTGATGGGGTTGTATCATATTGCAGGCTTCTTCTATACCCTGGTATCAAATCTATCACAACAACATACATACTGTTTTCTGAGTATTGGGGATTAAGTGCTTTGGTATAAGGTTGTGTTATGCTGATTTAAGATACGAGCATGCGTATTCATGTGGATACGAGGGGTGGGTGAAGATTTCTTGGCATGTTCAAAGTAATCGACTCCTGGGTCTACATACTTCTGCCACGTGAGTGAGTGAGTGAGTTTGATTTAACGCCGCTTTTAACAGTATTCCAGTTATATTGCGGCGTGTCAGCTTAATGTGGGAGGAAAGCCCGAAGTGATGCAGGTCTCAGACGTTTACCACTTCGGTGAAACCCACGAGCACGGGTATGGTGCTGACAAACCTAGAAACATAATCGGGGCGAACCGGGATTCGAACCCACAATCAAAGGTTTCTGTCGTGTCCAAGGGACGCAACTCTGCACAGCGAATCGCGGCGCCTTAGACGACTGGGCCACCCGTGCCCCCACTTCTGCCAAGTGGCTAATGATGCTTGAGTGCCTGGATCTCACCGTAGTGGAAGGCTTCTTCCTGATGGTATAAACAGTCCTCCACAGCAGACACGGCGTCATCAACTTTTACATAATGCTTGTCAGATGGGTCTTTCTTCAGGAACCGCTTCCGTGGCCTAGTGGTAGAGCGGAAGGTCTGGGGTTCGATCCGCAGCCGTGTCATACCAAAAGACGTGAAAAGATGGTACTTGTTGTTACTCTGACTGGCACTCGACATTAAGGGACTGTAACAAGGACTGGTCGGCCCGGAGTCAGTATACTGTGTCTGAGTGGGGCATTCATGTTAAACTGCGGCATGGTATCTTAGTGTGCTAGCATCAGTTCGGACTAGTACTAGCAGCCACACACACACACACACACACACACACACACGAACAAACACACACACACACACACACACACACACACACGAACACACACACACACACACACACACACACACACACACACACACACACGAACACACACACACACACACACACACACACACACACACACGAACACACACACACACACACGAACACACACACACACACACATGCACGTCGCTTTATCCGTGCAATAATCTTGGACGCGACGTTAAACCCCATTTCACCTCACCTCACCTTTCTTCAGATTTGGGAAGAGGTGGAAATCTGACGGTGCCAATTCTGGTGAATACGAAGCATGTTCAATGTTTTCAAAGCCACAGTCGTGGATCCATGGTGCATTATTATTGTGAAACAACACACCTTCAGAGAGTGCCCCATGACGTTTAGCCTTGATATTCTTAAGCAGTTGCATACGCAGATTAGCATAATATTGGGCATTAATGGCCTGACCTTTCGGGAGGTAGTAGTCAACAGCACGATTTCGTTGGAATCCCCGTAAACCTTGCCAGATAATGAATACTTTGCCTTTCTGAGAAGGGGACGTCAGCTGTTCCTATGATTTTAATGTAAACAGTTTAATCTCTGGCTGATAGCGACGAACCCAAGGCTCGTCCATGGTTAGGAATCGCTCACCAAAATCAGCTGGGTCTGCTTCAGAACGACGTAAACTGTCCCGAGAGATGATGAACCGGGAACATTTCTGATCTTGAGTGAGAAGCTTGGAAGCCTGCCTGCTAAACTTTTGTAATACCCAGATCATTTCCCAAAATGTCATCAACTATCTCATGAGACACTGCTGTTGCATAAGGCAATTTGACGTGTACTGAGTCGGCAATCATCCATACGTATTTCATGATACTCATATTGTATCAAAATATTCCTTAGTCGTGAATTAGATCCTGGTTAATATTCAAGAGGTAATATTTATTCCCCTCTTGAACTCATTAACAGTGGCAAAAGAAAGAGTAGTTTCCCCTAGATGACACCATGTTCGCATGGGTGACTGTTGAAGTAAGGCCTTTCAGTTTGTGTCCATTTTCGTCAACAGAGTACCTAGTCATTTTGAAGCTTCAAGAAATATGCTACCCGGTTGTATATTTGGCTCACATGCAGCCTGTAAACATTGGAAGTTTTGCAGATAATACCGACAAACTGTTAAACGTGTGCTATTCATCCTTCAAAGTTAGATTCTGATTTTTTCAGCCAACCCTCATATATAGCTTGAACTGTGCGTCCTCAATCATTACGAAACACATGCAGGTATAGTAAATCCTGCAGTTAGGGTGCTGAATAATTGTGAATTTCACCAACATATTAAACGTCTGAGATCTGCATCACTTCGCACTCCATCATTTAACTCACTCTCTGCTATACAACTGAAATACTGACAAGTGTGCGCTCGCTCGCTCACTCACTCACTCACTCACTCACTCACTCACTCACTCACGCACGCACGCACGCACGCACGCACGCACGCACGCACGCACTCACTCAAGACAGACATACCCAAACTGTAACGGGACATGCACTTCAAGAAATACCACTTGACGTATTAGCGTTATAATTGCAACAAATGCTATTCTTTTGAAAATATGTGGACCCATACAAAAACCCAATGATATTGAAATGTTATCACATTTCGATACATCACGCCTAAACCGTAAATCGCATTAAATGTTTTGTCCAACAGGATTATTTCACTGCTATATAACAGGAGGGTAGTAGCAGTACTGGAGCTATCGGTTGGGAGACGTTTTATCAGAATTGTTTTTATTCATAATCATAAACTATCTTTATAATTTATGAACGTTCAATCAATCCTTTAGCTTATTCTTCATTAAGGAAATCAGTCAGAGTACATACATGAAAGTGCTTGTGTGATGCACAAGCTGACCATTGGAGAAATCTGACTATGTGAGATTTCCTCTCAAAATAGTTAACATGCCTCGGTTTGTTTGCTTGTTTGTTGTTGTTGTTTGTATGTTGTTACTGGATGTGTCTGTTTTGATGATAGCTATAAAAACGTAATCTATTACAATAATCTAACACATATAGCAGATGGTACAGTTATTGATAAATTAGTAACACGATGAAGTACAGCATTCTTGACACCATTCTGCTTAACTGGCACTGTGTGCACTCAACTCACAACAGAGACATGGTCTCTGGTATATTTTAAAGATAAGCTAAATAAAACAAAATCTGAGTTCACCTGCTATATAAAATCAGTGAGAGAATAATATTCACCCGTTTAGACTGCTCGCCCATTTGGTCCCTCGTGTGTCAAACATTGCAAGTTTTGTTGACTTCTGTAATTCGAGCAGGGGCCTCATAAATGCGGGGAGACACATATTAAAGTAGGAATCGACTTCCTAAACATCAGACCTTCTGTACTGTCTGCATTAATATATAAACTTACAAAGACTGTACATTATGTTGAGGGGAATGTCCGAGTAACTCTCCATTCCTTCAAAATAATGGAGCAGAGGCCCCGCAGGGGCCGAGGCCCATTAGTTTTAAGGAATGGAGCGTTACGAGGATTTTCCCCTACTTATAATTCATCCCTACTTTTATACACTTTGACAAAATATTCTGTAGTTGAAAATATTTGAAAAATTCAATTGCTGCTTCAAGATAATGTACAGTTGACAAGCAACTCTCCATTCCTGAAAAATAATGGAGCGTTCAAACAATAGAATGACGTCACAGATGTGTTTTAACCTTCCCTTCTAAAGAGACATATATGCTTCATGTCGGTTGGTGATATGCACCTACTGCTCCGCACTCGTTGTGAATACAACTCTTTCTGTAGTCTGTCACGATCTAATTACGTCTAATACTTGTACGAATATACGATCACAAAATACGTTACAGGTCACCCGATTCGTTCATTACAGGTTAACTTTTGACTATAGTAGTAAATATTCAGATTTTGACACCGATGAGCATCGAAGCGCAAAGCGTGAGCCGCTGTGGGTGCAACTCTTGCTGGTGGTAGCCAATATTTAAACGATCCCGGTTGAATACATTGATGTTTTTCAGTGTCTTTATTATTTGTACCAAATATGTATGATTTGGGTATGATCAATATACGGTTAGCTATCTCGATTGTGATCACACCCGCTAAAGTATGACATCTTCAATAACAGCTTGCTCTCTATAAGAGAAGGATAAGATAGGGGACCATCTGGAAGTGACGAATGTAAGTGTGAAGCTGTTGAATCATTTTTTACAAAAGTAAAGTCCTCGCAATATAATTAGGAAAAAGAGTCAATATAAACAATTCTGTGTAGGAAGCCTCGAGTGTAAAGCCACTCAAGTACCTTAATTTCAGAGCTGAAATGGGATGGGCATTGGCTGCAAGTGCTGAGAAGGGGATGAACGTTATATTAATATTATTATACTCTGGGGTGTGTGAGAGAGACTAGGGGGAAGTGGAATGACGTGAAATTGCGTCGCCGTGGGAAGCCGATGGCGGAGGAAGAGCGACAATGGTCGTGTTGTTTGACAGCAGTGTGTTGCTAAATGTCCTACGCTGATAAAACAGGAGGTGGTATTATGCACTGACAAACAGAGAGTGGATTATGTATGTTTGGGATAGCTCCGCGAAGTGGGAGACAGTCGACATTGTTTTCTAAAGAGAGTGTCATGGGCTGCCGATTACGATGTAACTCAAAAAGTGTCCTTTATCAAAATATAAAGAACTGCTTTATCAAAGGATTTGGGACTGTCGTTTGTTTTGTTTGTCGTATAACGCGCACTCTTTCCCTGTCGTTAGAGGCGACTCAATGGATACGTTGGACTGGCTCAGTGACTTGGCTGATTGCGTGTACAGTACCCAGTACCATGATCAATCACTGGTTTGTCTGATCCAGGCGGGCATTTACAGCCCGGGGTGATATAGCTGAAATGTGGATGAGTGTGGCGTAAAACAACAAATAACAACATGTTTATATGTGCATGCTGGACACATAAGCACAC